AGAAGCAATGAGTCCTTACTCTCAATTCAAGTCTATACTAACTTTGTGACTATATGAAGGCCAAGTTCAACCTTTCCTGTAAACAAAATAAAAAGCCTGCACCAGGAACTGAAAAACTTGTTTCTGATTTTTTATTTATTTGGCCATAGTCACAACTCTGAGGCTCATCTTCTTATTCACAGTAAAACTGGTGAAAATATCACTTATCTTCCCTATTTCACAAAGCACTGTGAAGGCAAATGAGTTGATCTTCAAACACTTAAGAGCTAAACAGATAAAAAGTATCATTAATAAAACACACCTTTCACATAATTTGCAATGGCTTCTTTTGTGTCCCTCTCTGGGTCAATAGTGATGAAAAGTGGAGTTAAATTTGGCAGAGTTGGAATACTATCTGAAAGAAAGTTATCATTAGTCAGCGTTCCCACTCTAAGGGAAAAGACAAAGAGAAGTAAGCAGCAATTACAGTAGCATAGTAAGTGCTACAGCAAGGTGTTCACAAAACAAAGAGGCAGCTAACATCTGAGTGGAGAGGATAAGGAAGGGGAGGAGACTGCTTCCAGGAGGAGCAGATCTATGTATTACCTGTGGTGGAATCAGATGAACATCCTTCCAAATACCTGCACCAGTGTATACACACTGTCACTGGATCGCATCATGTGGATCACTGGTCTCTAGACCCAATCCAGTATTTACAGTCCCCCCAACCCTGCCCCCACTATATCTCAGGGGCCACTTAAACAAATAATAAGGAATGAATATCCTGGAACAATTCATTTGAAGGACATACCCTGCTCTCTCACTGGTACTAATAAATGCCACTGACTGCACATTATAGACCATGCCACAGATTTTCTATTCTGACCATCAGTCACCAGGGAAAGGCAGAGGCAGTGGCAGTGATGGAAGGCTACAATACAGGAAGGACACAAAGCAGAATTAAGGAGGCCTGATACTGTTAAGCAATCAACATGTTAACTATCAAAACAGGCTTCCTCTGGTGGAGATAAGGTCAGAGGACAAAGCAACAAACAAGCCTGATGCTGAGACTTGATGTTCTCACAGACCAAGTAGTTACAACACCCTACTTAACAGTAATACAAGAATGTGAAAGGTGTAGTAACATTAAGGATATTAAGTAAACATATAGTTTTTATAGTTAGTGATGGTTTTCTTACCTATTTCATCCACGACTTGAATCATTTTTTCTAGTTCTTCTGGACAGATATCAGGGCAATGAGTGAAACCAAAATAAATCAAGACCCACTGACCCAGGTAGTCTTTGTCAGTTTTGGGCTCTCCAATATGAGTTGTAAGGGAAAATGGGCCACCCAATAAAGGCTTTCCGATGCTTCGCTGTCGTTCCTTCTCCAGTTCTTAAAGAGATACAAACACACATGTTGAAAAAAAAAAGTCAGTCTAAACACAGGTACTCAAATGTTTGTTACACAGTCAGTAGGATACTAATGACTGGGGGGCACAAAATGTGGAAGAAACAGTCTGTTTTCTAGCTTAAATTTTTTTAAAGGAAAACATACAACAAAATCAAACTTAATACTATGGAATGTACTACAAACTGTAAGAAAAAAAGTGGTAAAAACATTTCTTCTTCCTGAACAATTCAGCCCTAAACTATTTGGAGTGGCCATGATAGGGGTGGGGAGGGACTACAGCTACTCAGAGTAGAATGTCTGAGCCCAAGTGGCAAGAAGCAGGCAGCCTGGGACTGGAAATCTTAGCCCAAGTGGGCTGAGGAGGCATCCGAAAGGGGAGGCGACAATGGTGATGGGAACTTCGTTACATGGAGGAATTAATTAAATAAAAAAATATATTTAAGGTAAGAGTTATAAATGGAAAAGGAGGAAGAAAGATGGAAAAAGAAAACTAGAATGAACCTTGTAGTATTGGAAAGATACTGGAGATGTCAGTGTGAATTTGTCTACTGAGAGGGCCCTTGAACAGATGTGCCCCAGAGCAATGAGCTGCTATCCTGACTTCTAAATATCCTCCTCTGTTGAAAGGAAACAGGGCTTTCTGGACAAAGGGCTGATATCAGGGCTGTGGCAGAGAAAGTACAAGGTAAGCCCAGAACATCTTGGTATGCAGAATTAAGGACAAACTCAAAGAACATTGAAGACACATCAAAAAGAAACAGAAGACTGCTTGAAGGGGCTGCCATGGACCAATCTGGGACAACTTGAGCATTAAAATAAAGTGAGTAACAGATTACAATTCACTGAATATACAGGAAATCACAAGTTTACACTGATGTAAATAAATGAATTGAGAGTTTGATGGAAAACATTTACATATAAAAATATACATCACAAAGTACACACTAATTATATTTTCAGTAGAGAAGCTTCATAGACACCACCCTAATCAAACTATCAGCCTGAATGTTATCAATAATGGGACAAACTGAGGTCATGTGGCATTTTACTAGATGCAATGAGATCACAGTATCACTTTTGAGATATTCCTGCCAAAAGCATGTGACCTGAATCCAATCAGGAGGAAACATCAGACAAACCCAAACTAAGGGAGATTTTACAAAATACATAGCCTGTAATCTTCAATGATGTCTAGGTTATTAAAGTTGCATAAAGACTGACAAATTGTTACAAATTGAAGGAAACTAAAGAGACAACTAGGTATGACATGTATTTCTGACCTGGAATTTTTACTATAATGGACATCAAGTTCCAAAACTTGAAGGAGGTCTGAAGATTGAACAGTGGTAACAAACACATCAATATTAACTTTCTGGTTTTGATGGTTTGTATTATGGTTATGTTGGAGAATGTCTTTGTAGGAAATACACAAAATATTTGGAGATGATGAAGCATCAACTCAGCAAATACTCTCAAATGATTATTTTTTAACATGGATAAATTTTTTTTCATATTGAGGTACATACATACAGTAAAAAGCACAAATCTTAGGATACAGCTTGATGAATTTTGGAATTTGTACACATTCATGTAACCATTACCCAGATCAAGATTAGGAATATTTTTAGTATCATTTCATAACAAATTTTTTATAAAACAGGTATTACTGCAGGTGAAATTCCAAACTCAAGTCAAAAGAATCTTGCATATCCTAGAATTGTCTCTATCATTACTTTACAACTTTTTGGTTGTTTGTCAAACTAGAGGAATCTAACTGCTTAATAGACTATGAAAACTCTATCAACAAAGCACTGCTTGTTATACAAAATACATCTATATATTAATATGGTTTGTATATTGCTAAGGCTCTAAAGACTATGAATTCTCACTCTCAGATTTAAACATTATCCTTTGTGTGAGGACATCAAAAGAGACTAAAGAATCAAAACAGATTTAGGTGATACTTTTCAAAGATTTACTGGAAACAAATCTTAAGAATCCTGGAATATTCATTAAAATACAATGTTCTTCTAAACAATTTCTAAACACTTCAAGCGCTAACCTAGAGCAGTTTCTGGCATTCCCAGCCAGGTTCTTCCTATCTCTCTCCACCATGGTCAGCCTCTGGCCTTTCCCTCTGTGATACTCAGTGGTCTGCAGTAAGATTTGGGCTTCCCTCTGGTCGGGTCTGGCAGAACCTCATCTAGTGAAATCCTTAACTTCTGTGTGTGTTTCTCTGCATGTGCACCTCAATAGCTGGACTGCATCTTAGTCATGTTTGTGCCCTCTGGAATTCATACTACCCACATTCAAATCTGTCCAGTCTTTTCATATTAAGGTGCTGATATCCTGGACTAGATCCTGGAGCAGATAAAACACAATGAAAAACAAGTAAAGTGTAAATAACGCCTGCAGCTTATTGAATAATAGTATTGCACTAATTTACATTTCTTAGTTTTGATAAAATGAGCCATGACTGAACAAGAAAGCTAGGTGAAAAAAAGTTACGTAAATGGGAACTCTGTCATCTTTGTAACTCTGTAAGTCTAAAACTATTTCAAGACAAAAAGCTTAAAATCAACAACAAAAGAGATGTTAGTCTTTAGCCAGTGAGGATTATATTCAGAGCTGACCAGGTATCTACTTACTTTCTGTCTTTTCTTTCTTGAAGTACTTCATTCCACCCAATAAAGCTCCTCCAATAGCAAAAGTAATCGCTAAAGACTTCCAGGAAACAGGCTACTGGGGCAGTGATTTCAAAAACAAAAACATTAGCAAGAAGCAATCATTTTAACCATGTGGCAGAAATTACAGAAATTCTGACTCCTCAATCATGGTACACTTAAGGTTGAGAACTCTAAGAAAACCTGAAACCTATTTTAATTTTTTTAGCGTCAGAGTTAACTAAAATCCAAGTCTAAGAATCCGATCGCGTGTGGAAGGTCTCGTTTCTCAAGTTCTCTCTTTAGGGCTTGGACTAGCAAACCGAGGGAGACGCGGGATGAGATACTGGGACCTAGGTAAGCTGGCCGAGGTGAGGGCAGTTTCAGGCCAGGCCGAGTGGTTTTGGAAGTTGTGACCAAGTGGGCGGGAAGGCCGCAGGGGTTGTCTGACAGCCGCGATGAGCCTAAAAAGGGCTCCAGGGGCGCACTCACCCCGGGCTGCGAGGGGCGCGTGGGGTCTCGGCGGCCCTTCGGCTCGGGCCCCGACGACCCCGGGGACGGCGGCGGCGCTGAACTGAGGGGCCGGCTTCCCAGGCAGCTGCCAGCGAGCCCCAGCGCCCGCCACGTCTCCTCTCGCCGCGCGCAGAGCTGCCTCAGCAGGATTCCCGCGGTCCCCTCTGCCGGGACCCGAACCCTTAGTCGGCCAGGCAAGAGATACCAGAGTTGGCCGCCGCGAAGCCGCGTGACCCTGCCCGGTCCTACCAACAGGCCCGCCATCGACTAAGGATACCACGCCTTCTCCGATCCATCTTTCACTTCCGGAGCTATTTCCGCTTCCTCCGGAAGGCAGAGGGAGCCGCTCTTTCCGCTCCGCTCGGTGGTGCTGAGATCGGCCGGCGGTTGTCTGGGATCCCTTCGCGGAAAAGCCGGCTCGCAGTAGGTGGTTCCTCTGGGCTGGAGGCGGGTCTCGCCCGGGCGGGGCGGGCGCTGCGCGGTCCCGGCGGGCTGGGGTGGGCGGCAGGCCCAGAGGCAGCAGGCCCTGGAGGAAGAAACGGCCTCGGGGTGCCGGCCGCGCGGCCGTGCCTGGGCCCGTGGTCGTGAACGCTGGGGCGCCCCGCAGCGCTGTGGGGTTCGGGCCTCGGCGACCGCCGCCGGCTCTTCGCCCCGCCCAGCTCTCCCAGCCTCGGAAAACGGAGAACAGCGCTCCGAGGCCGGCGGGACCCGACAGCCCCTAGTTCCCACCCTTGCCTCCCTTCACCTGCCCAGTCTGGAAGCTGGTCAAGTGGAACCGCAAGATTGTTGACCCCTTTGCATCCCTCTCATAGAAGCGGACCCACTGCACTTGATCTTTAAAACTTTGGAAGTTTTAAAATTGCTGATAAGTTTAAAATTGCTGTGAGCGGTTTAGGGTGTTAAGCGCGAGTCAAGAAAGTGAAGTTCCCCGGCGCTTCAGTTACTCCCACGTTGTAAATGTAGCCTAATTATAAGTAACAGCACTGAACAAAGTATATAGTACGTCATATCCCATCCCTTAGGGCCCCACTTACTTAAAATCCTCTCGGTGACTCCCCAGCCCCCTTCAATTTTAAAGTTTGAGTTTCCCATCTGGGACTGCTTATCTCCTTTGGATACAGCCCCGTATCAATGAGGCCGAGAGCATTTGTAGGTTTATTTTTCATTCCCTGTGGAAGTTTAACGCACCTTCTGTCAACCTTTGTTTTTGTCTCAGTGTCTCCAGTCTTAACCCGTCTTATGTGGTAGACAGAAAAAGGCAAAAATCGTCTTCTGAATCTCTAACTTCATGCGTGATCATCTTCAGTAGGCTTCCACTAAGCAGAAGCAACTCGTGCCTCAATGATTGTGAGACTGGAGCACGGTATGTTCTGGGAGCTGGCGTAACTAGCCAGGTGTGCCCCTCTCTAAAGCAGTACAGTTGTAGTCTACTGTTAAAATGTTTCTTGACTCCAAAGTTGAATTGGAATTTTCTGTTCAAAGTAGATATTGCACTTTTAATTGTTTTTAATCAAACTGATTTTTCTGCCTTGAAGTTGGCTGTGGGTTAGGATTTTTTTTTACTCATTTCTGTGTATTGTTTGCCCAGGGGGACGTTTTTTCTTTAAATTGACAAAGACGCAAAAATATTTTGCTTATTTAGGCAATGAACATATAAAATTACTGTTCATTTTTTAAATTATTCAGCTGGAGGTTTACTGATCAAAGATACATAAATTAAAATTCAGTGTTTTTTTCAGCTGGTCTGTTCCATTTTATTTGCCAAACTGATTCTTTTAATATCTATTTGTTTACCAAAGCATTTTTAATGCTCCCCTTTTTTCCCCTTATCACTCCCTTCCCACCCATCCTCCCTAGTCCCTTTCCCTTTGGTAACTGTTAGTCCATTCTTGGGTTCTGTGAGTCTGCTGCTGTTTGGTTCTTCAGTTTTTTAGTTTGTTTTTATACTCTACAGATGAGTGAAATCATTTGATACTTGTCTTTTTCCGCCTGGCTTATTTCACTCCAAAGCATTTTTATATAACTTCTTTATATTAAGTTTATAACATTAAATAAAATATTAGCTTCTAAAACAGTTCCTGACTCAAAGTAGGTGTTTCATAACTATACATAGATGAATTTCTAATCCCTCTGAGCCTGATTTCATGGACCCATTAAACTTTCATGTTAAAAGATATATAAAACACTAGTGAAAACCTATCACTTTTACTACTACTATTAAGCCACCAAGATTACCAATTGGTTTTTTTTCTTTCAGATTTAGATAGTTTTCTTGAAAGACATAGGACATAGATAGTATCATTTTTATATTTGTTCTGTCAGTAGTGACAAGGCTGATCAAATTTGTGCTTGACATAACTTAGACTGTTTGACTAGGACAGCTAGGCCCTAACTGTGCCCTTCTAGGCTCTGTTATTACAAGTTTGCTCCATCTCAGGTCCAGACTTCTGCCCCATGTGCCTAGCCACAAACATTTCCTGCCTCATCTCTTCTGTTACTGCAATATTTAGGACAGTTAAATTTCAGGACTGCTCCTCCTCCCTCTCCACTTTCCAAAGCCACCTATCCCAAGGGCTCTGCATAGAAAAACTGCTCACCCACTCCTTCCCTAGGACACTTCTGGCTTAGGCCTTGAGCATCTTTCTTTTGAAGTAGATCCCCTTAACAAAGTCTCTTCTGACTTGTGCACCCACCCCCTTTTCTCCCTTTGACAATAGTGTAGGTTTGTCTTCACAAGTTCACCATAGGTGCTTGAGAGCTTTCTACAGGGAACTTGAGTCTTCTGCTAGTCTTATTATCACAGAGATTTTACTAGTATCATTTTGTATCAAGTATTCAGCAAATAAGCATCCCTGGGTATTTTCTCCTGTTCCTAAAAATCATGCTTGAAGTGGTTTTCACAAAATGCTGTTTATCCTGCACTGTGATTTTCTATAGGAATTTTTGGAGAAAATCTTGTAGTAGAGTTTTCTGCTTTATTCTGTTCTATAAAAAGTTGCATAGTTTCAGTCATCTTAAGGTTCACTAGGCCAGTATATCTTCAGATAGATATTTAAACATAATTGTCTTACATACATGTAGTGCTTTATGATTTACAGAGTGGATCACTGTGCGTTATAACTCAGTTGGATCTCACAATGACCCATGAGGGTTATTTTGCCATAGAAAAAACTGGGACTACAATTCTAGATCTTCAGTTTCAAAGCTTGGCAGTTCATCACAGTACCTGTTAACTAAAACTTAGATAAGTTAGCATATAGTAAATGGTACAGGCAAAACATTTGAGTGAAGTTCACTTAAAACTTATTTTTCTCCTTTTTTTTTAAAAGCAAAGTATTTCCTTTGGTCTTCTAATTCACAAACTTCATTTTCTCTAAACTTTAGAATGCATTCTTTTTATTTATTTTATTTTTATTTTGGTATCATTAATTTATAATTACATAAGGAACATTATGTTTACTAGATTCCCCCCTTCACCAAGCCCCCCCCTACATACTACCCCATTAGTCACTGTCATCAGCGTAGTGAGATGCTGTAAAATCACTACTTGTCTTCTCTGTGTTGCACAGCCCTCCCCATGC